TCCTCAAGAATTCAGAATTCACAAAAACTGGCCACTGATGATAATTTCGCAATATGCTTTAAGTTCATAGCTATGTCTGCCACGACTTGCGAAGGCGGAGAACATTGATAAGATGTCTGTCATTGTCTATCACGGTAGTCAGTAAGTAGGGACATGATAGTCTCGGGTGTGGGTGGTGTTGACACTGTTTAACCACACCCACACTCCACCTTGAATCATTGGTTGAAACAAAATCGAGAGTATTTAAGTTATTTGTTTTTATAAAATAGTTTTGTTTTTCGATGCTCATGATATGGGGGTTCGAATGATTGGTGAAATGTTTAGTGTTAGCAATTTCGTTGTTAAAAACTTGAAATTGAATGATTTGTGCTATTTAGAATAGCAGCTGATCTGTTTTTCGATTGATTGAGTAATAATTGAACTATAAATGGATTGTTGATTATCTATTCGATATACTTATTATGAAAAAGTTTATCAGTATCAGATTGTAGTTTAGAATGAGGAATGCTCATTTTTTTGTGAGAGATTCACATGAAAAAAAAAAAATTTTATGTAATTAAAAGCAAACAGACATAGAATGTGTTTCTTGATCGGATTTTCCATAGCAACGAATATCCATCAATTTATTATAAGGAAACGAAGAATAATTGAAAATAAATCATAGAAGCTCAATCAATCATTTAGAATCGCTAAAATTACAAAAATTGAATACAATAGTAAACAAACATTAATTATCATGTAACTCATACATGTATTTCAAACTCAAATGAATTCTCATGTCAACTGTGGCATATATCTGCAATGAATTCACTAATTTGGAAAACTCGTATTTTGCATTGAAGCTCGAAAAGATCGATATCTAATCTAGAAGTCTAAATCTAACAATCCCTGAAAATGAGCAGTAAGTTCTTTTGCCGAATTCAATTTGAAATGAAAAACGATCATAGACTCATTAACTTACCCATCAGAAGTAAGAAAGACGTGTTCAGAAGTGAAGAACGGTGGAAAATCGTTGATACCGTACAAATATCTACCTTCGAGCTGTTCGACGTCAAGGAACATCACAACATGAGGCTGATTACTAGCGCCCATGACAATATCACCAACTTGAATTTTTTCAATTGATTTGTCAGTACCGTCAGCCATACGTACCAAGGTTCCAGCCATAAAACACTAGATATGATCAAGAAAAACATTTGATTAGTATTTAATAGTATAGGGACCCGTAATTTCTTCTCCTCCGGTTTATATAGAAGTGATGAATCGATGACTGTTCCTCTTGGGTATCATCGGGTAGGGCTCGGCTTGGATCCTATTAGGTGTGCATCTGAAATTTTATATTGATTGAATTCAGATCCAGGTTTGTGTTCAAAAAATTGCACCGAGGAACTCTCATATGAACAATCTAAGGTATGCCAGTCGTCGAATAGAAATAATAGAGAAATACTATCCCGAATGTTCGAAGTTACTTTCGAGAAAAAAATCTGTTGAGGTTGTTATCAGATGAGTCTACATCCGAAAAATTTCTTTAAACTGGATTCAGGTGTCGATCCGAGTCCTAGAAATTTCAATACGCCGGGTCTCAGAAAGCTTAATTCGTTGGGTTGAGCCTCGAATCTGACGAACTTCAATAGATCGAGTCGAGGTTCGGATCTCACAATTTTGGACTTAACGATCTCTAGTTAGTCTCCGAACGATACTCCCGCGGTATTTACTGACCAGATAGTTGCTCCCCAATATTTTCTGTATCGATTCAATACATGCCATATCCTATTCATCGCAAACCAACTGGAAACATAATCAAACTAAACCTAGATATTGCGCTTATCCTCATCGTCAATATCGCGGAAGTAACTGTCTGGGGGAAAATAGTCCGCCGGGTCTAACCCGGACCCGCTCGGATTCGGGTCTTGAAAATTTCGGTTGATTGTGTCCGAATCTAGATTTAGATGTTTTTGATGCTGAAATTCGGGGTTCGGACCCAGTTCCCAAAATTCTTAGACTCGATGGGTTCTAGTTGCCAGAAGTGACGTGTATACTTTTATACAAGAAAACATTACTTTTTTGATTTCTAAATTAAACTGAATGTAATGCAGCTATCCTGTTTCGAATCGTACTAGTCTTTCCAGATACCTAATTGTGAAACAAATAAATAGAAACTCACTTAACAACTCAAACTCAAATTTAGTCAATTAATAGAAAAACGTCTTCTAAAGTTTCATTTTGCATAATAAACACATACACTTGGCCGTCTCGACTGCTCGATGACAGTTGGTGGGCGACTTTGAATTTCTACCATTTTGTTCATTAATGCAAGTTGTGCTTGATTTGAAGCCTCTAAGGCTCTTTGCATAGCTTGTGCTTCTGCTTTGGTTTTAGTCGCCATTTCGTCTCTAAGTCGCTGGTGCTCCTGCTGCATTGTTTCCAATTGTTGTTGCATCTGCTGGACTTGTGCTTCTTGACTCTGGCGCATTTCTTTAGCTTCCTCAGCCTGCCGTTCAATAATACGATGATAACTCTCCGTCTCAGCCTTCTGATGCGTAATAAGATCATCATAACGTTTTTGTTGTTGACGAATTTCATCTTCGAAATGAACCTTGTTTGCATTAAACTCTTTGGCCATTTCTTCGATCTGTTTTTTCAACATAGCAACTTCCTCAACCTTTAAACGGATATCATGCGCTTTGACATGTTCAGTTGGCGATAACTCGACAATAAAACTTAATAATTGTTTTCTTAGTGCTTGTCGTTCGTTCAAATTTTCTCGATCGATGTGATTTAAAAAGCACACTCTCTCTGCCGCAATTGGCACTTGAATAATATCTTGTAACATGAGCATTACTTCACCTTCATAGTTCTTTGGTCGAGTTGCTGGAAGACCATTGACTACTAATAAGAGTGACTCGATATTCAATGGATATGCGGCATTAATGGCATTGAATGCAACCACATCTTCATCACGAATGCGACCGTTTTGCTGTCCGAAAACATATATAATAAGCGAGTTTGGTCGTTGAGTGAATGCTTGATCGATTTCACGTTTATTGATGTCAACACGAGTCTGAAAAATAAAACAAGAATATCGACATGGAATCAATGACATCTCATTGGTATTTATTACTTGATCAGCTTCAATTAAACCTGGAATATTAAAAATAGCATAATGATGATCATCAAAAGTAATTTCCTGAAACTCGGTGCGATGAGTAACAGATCTAGCAGAGAATTCATGTTTGAATATTTCTCTGTCGAGTAGAATATTAGCTAGGAAACTTTTTCCAACACCACTATTTCCAAGAATTATCAAACCAAATTGATTTTTATTGTTTCTGGCCATATCAACGCTTTAATAGTCGAGACTGTCACGCGTTTTCGCTATTCAGTGAATCAACGTCGTTTATTATTGTTTCTGTCTGTTGTGTCTGCTCTTGTCGAAATAAATGATATCATAAGAATCACTCTAGTTAAAGATAAGAGAACATAAAAAGGACAAAACCGACTATTCTCCAGTATTTTTTTGGCTTCTTACTATGCAATATTTTGTCAAGATAAGAGAAACATTATAT